CCCAAACCCTGGAATGTAACTGAAATTGTTCCCAGAGCCTGGTCTTTATATAAAAGTAAACCAAAAGAGAAGACTGGTTTATTAAATAAATTAGATAATGTTAAATATAACAAATCTAATGATATTGGCATTGGTTCATCTCGTTCTAATAATAAAACATTAACTACATCATCAAAAGGCGCTTCATCATCTGGACTTAATAATGAATTATCTATCACATCTAGGAAAGGTAACATAGATTCATCTCAAACTAACAAACCATTGGTTGGAGATGCTCTAGAGTTCCCAATTATAATTGATTGTGATGATGAAAAACATTTTAAAGATGGCGATAGAGAATTTCCGATCTTGTTAGACAGTGACGATGATGATAATAAAGATTTTCATGTATTGACTTTCGATAAAAATGAAGTTATCGTGATTGATGATGATGAGGATGAAGAAAACAATATTAAAGATTTGAAAAGGAAAGCCTTACCAAGTGATTCTGAAGATGATGTAGAACCATCTAATAAAAAATTTAAAAGTGTGAAAGTTGAAGATGATTCCTTGGGTGATTTTATTCCTATTGAACCCCTCACAGTATCAGATCTTAATGAACCAGAACGTGTTTTTATTCGTAGTGACTTTACCTCAAATTCCATTTATGAACTGGACGGAAGAAATTTGCATGAAGTAAAGAATTTGCAGGAAATAAGAAATTTTCTGGTATCGACGGTGCAAGTAAAAATGAAAAAGTTGAGGAATAGTACTAAGAAGATTATTAGTAGTAAAAAACAATCAGAAATAGACCAGTTCATTAAATTAAATAGATGTAACTATAAAAATATATACATATATATATATATATATATATTTTATGTTTTGTCGGGTTCTCATATTTAAATTAAAATAACTTATTATTCAATCTTTTAGATGTTAAAGATATTAAAGGTTTGAGGACCGACCTGCCACCAATCCCTCCGATAGCCGATCCGTTATTCTCGCAGATGTCGACTGGTTATCATTCTTTCAACTACCAATGGGAGGCATTAGAGTACTTAGGTGATAGGGTTTTAACATCCTGCCTTTTAAAATTCGCAAAAAGTCGGTACGGATCAAAATATTGTTCAAAAGAAATCAAAAAAGGTGTCTCAGTAATGGCCACTAACAAGATTTTGGCGGCATATACCGTGACACTTGGTCTCCATAATCTTAATCGTATGGAATTGCCGGTAATAGTAAAGCTTCATGCCGATGCCTTTGAAGCTTACTTTGGAGCATATTATCTAGCATGCGGGGAATTGGCAACTTGTGGTTATCTCGAGAGCCTAATGACCCCGCTGTTTGATCTTATCGTTCCTCACATCGCATCTGGTCATGCTATTTCATCTACATGCGATATAGCATCAAAGTACTTTTCAATGCCATGGATGGTCGATAGTGATCGTCTTAAATGATAATGCCGTTGTGTAATTACATGATTGTGGACAATTTTTTTTTTTTAAGGCATTATTATTTTGCTTTGCTAACAACAGTAAATGTATATATTTCTTTGGATTCAATATTGCTGATTAATGAGCTGACAATTGAATTTTATAATAAATTTATGAAAAGCGAACATTACATATTTGCAAAAAGTTTAATTTGTATATAATTTAAAAAAAATTTTAATCTGTATATAATTTACTTATTTTACAAAATTGTACACTAGATGATTCATGAGTAATAAACAAAAATAAAATAAAAATACTTGTAATAGGTTAATTTTGATCTCTAACTAAAATGCTACGCATGAAAAAAGACCATAAGCGATAATAAAATTGGTGTTTTGCGTAATTCAGTAATTTTTTTTTGCGATAATTTAGTGTTAAGTCTATGATTTAATCGTTTAAAATTATAAAACGCGCAAAATATATTTTATTAATTTCCCATTAAATATAATAGAAAAATTTTGATGATCATAGAAAAACTACGTTTTACACTACAGCTAGAAACTAAATATAATCTTGCTATGTTTATTCCAATTAACTACTCTTTAGAATTTTGTATTTTTATGTATTTATAGTATTTTGTGAGACTAAAATCAATTTCTATAATCACAACAAATCAAATATCAGATATTAGATGTCTACTATAGAAATACGTGCCGCCGTTTACGTGCGTTGACGCGATCCAGAATTTATTTATACACGCGGCTGCACAACCACGTGATTTATTAACGGCCATCTTTTTTAAAAATTGCGTTCAAAGACGGTTGAATTTTCTCGACAAAAAGAACTAAACTGAACAGTGAAGGTAATTCCATATAATGCATCTTTAAACCTTTCTATTCTTTTCTTACGAAAGCTCATTGTACTGTATTAATTTTCGTAGATTATGACTACAAAACGGGGTGGAGGTTTATTGAGAATAAATAAAGCTCAAGGGAGAGGAGGAGGTGTGTGTATATGTTCATACTTTGTAAATGGTGAAATATTTCACAGGAGTTAACAGATTATAATAGTAAAAAAATTCAAAGGCAAGGCGCTGAACCCTAGTGGTGGCCCAAATGCAAACCAATCTGGAGCATTTACGACTTCATCGGTAGCAACAGGAAGTCTAATCACTCAAGCAGAAAGACTTACGAAAAAAGGTTTCTTGTATTTTTTATTTTTATTTTTTTTATTTTTTTATCATTGACTTGTTAATGTTCTATTAGTGTTATCAATTCTTATAAACTCTTTAACTGTAAGGGGGGTCAAAGTCACCAAAACCACATAACAATATTTCTTCCGAAGAATTAATAAAACGTACTGCACGCGCTAACCGTTTTCGAGATACTTTGGATCCAGATCAAGTATTTATTTTACGACCATATTATTATCTATAGGTTGTTTAGCACTTATAATTCAGGCTCTGATGTTATATAGTTATCAAGAGTAGGCCGTGTTCCATTTCATGGACAAAATTCAAAAATTAAAAATGAAGGTCCACCGATTAATCCTGTTGATGACTTTTTTGAAGTACTTTCGATTTATCATCAAACGCAAATGATGATAAAACAAGTTAATGATACTCTTCCATCAGTAAGAAAAAAACTAGCTTGGGATTTCTTTCACGAAATGCCTCCTCCAATTACCCTCAGTACGTTATATGAGAAAGGCGAAGCTGATAAAGAAATAGAGAATGAGAATAATATATTAGAAGCTAAGCCTAAGCCAAAATCATTGGATCTTTCACCCGCCCAAAACTTTTTAGATGTTGAAATGGAAGATGTAGTACAGTTTATTAAGTCACCAGTTACTTCTGGATCAATGGATGTAGATGAGGCATTTCCATATATGCCACCTTTTACTCAGGTAATTAGTTATCTTAACAAAATTAGTATTCATGAATCATGTTGATTTATTTTCTTGTTTTTCATTTTAGATACCATCATTGTCCAATTCTCCGACAATAAATCAAAAGGATCAATCGATCTTTGGTCAAATTATGGCATCACCATTTCAACGCCGCTTGAGTGATTTGACACGTAAAAATTCTCTTGAACGAATGAATTCTATAATTCTAAGTAAGTATTTTTTTTTTTTTTTAAGGTGGATTATTCAATTTTATTTAAATAAACAAATAAATATATTTAATGTTAAAAGCCACTGAAAAGTCAAATTCTACGCTTTCAATGGATGTCGACGACAACTACTCCAATCAAGACAAATCTTTTATAGAGCAAAATGATACACTTGTGGGATCACCTATTGATGAGGAGGAGTTTAAACAAATTAAACAAATTGAAGAAACTGCAACTGAAACAATAGATGAACCTGATGTTACTAGTGATACAGATCCACCAATAGTTGATGAACAAGAAAATGAACTAGAATCGCCGGAGTATGTAAAAAGTTAATTAATTTTTTATAATTTGAGGTTTGATCAAACAAATTAATTCGAAATTTTCATGTCACCATAGTCTCCCTACGCCAAAATTAGATTTATATAGTTTAGTCCATGGTCCACCTCAATTAACCCAGACCCAACTATTAAAAGAAGATAAAATTAAACAAAGACAAGCTCTATATAAAAAAACCAAAGCACTTCCAGATCGTATAACATCCGAGAAAAAGCGAAGAAAAAACGGGTATGACAAATTAATAAATAAAAATCGTAATGTTCAGTGCGTACTTGCACGTATTGACGATCAAAAGGCCAAAGCAACAAAAAAGGCACAAGAAGAAGTCGAATCACGGAGAAAAGTCATTGAAGCGCACGACGAAGACTACGAATCCGCCAAAAAAGAAATAAGACGTCGGAATCAGATTTTGGAACGTGTTACGAATGAATGCCTCGAACGTGCCAAAAAAGATCCTAAATATAAGTATTCTATGACTAAAATTCAGGAAGAAGCTCTAATTGAGATTGAAAACACACCATCACTTCTTAGATCATAATTTAATATGAGAAATTTTTCTAGATTTCTAAAAGTTGATTGAATCCCCATCCTTGTACATTTCCCCTCTAATAAGTAGACACTCGTAGGTCATTACAGTACGACAGCGAGTAAACTTTTAAGTAAATCATATACAGTCAAAATCGATAGATCAAAATTTGATCCACTATATGTGTTCCAAAATCCATTTCTGGTGACCGATATTCAAAAACCAGATTTATTAATTCTTAAATCTGGCATACCTATCTACTCATCTGATTTTATATAACAGTAATTACACCAATCTTTTTTATAATCGTTTGACTAGTGGATATATTTAAAGACGTTGGTTTTTTTTTAAATCTGATAATCTCCATCAACTTTGAGTTTAAAAAAAAAATCTTTAGTTGAGATTTAATTAAATGTATTGTAAAAACATTTATTGTATGTGCAAGATAGATAGAGTATTCAAATTATGCAATCACATAGTTTTTTGTATTAATTACATGTGTGGATTATGATTGATAGATGAATGTTTTATGACATTAAAGTTGCCTGGCATTACAATAGTTTGGGCTGGAAATAAATTCTGTAAAGTTCCGATGTCAAACTTAAATTCCAAGTAACGGTAATGTTTTTAATTTATGTCCGAAAGATTCTGAAGAATCGTACATAATTTTTGACACTAACGGATGATGGATAAAAACTATTTATTTATATGATTATACATTTTAAATATTTTTTATTAATAATATTTAAGTCAGGATTGAATTTTATTGAAATTACATTAGTTGTGGTTAACATGTTTAAATTAAAATATATATAAAAGGCTTAAATAATTAGCTAGTTTTTAAGATATACAACTTTGGTGTTAAACTCCACCAATATGATTTAATTCGTGAGAGATATCTATAGTAATACTATATATACTGAGTATAATAAAAACAATTACCGTTGACCACTGCATCAGTACCAGGGGTCTTATTCAAGAAATTCGGTTTTAAAATTGAATAGTACCCGTGGGTATTGTGTGAGGAACCGGGTACTACTGTATATTTGGGGAATACATGAAGTAATAAATTAAATATAGGTATACCACCGGGTATTATTCAAGAATTAAGCCAGATGAATAATACCCGGATCTTAATCACGGGGGTATTATTTTGGGGGATACTGTATGCAGTGGCAAACGGTAATACCCATAATCTGAAGCTGGAATAAAATTCCTCAACATCTTTTGTGTTTTAACAAAAACCGTAGAGACAATTTTTTTCTTTTTAATACTGTAATAGTGGTAGAATCATCAAAATCGGCCCAATGGGTCTTGAGATATTCTCATTTTTTGTCTTCATGATCATACGAAATTTTCTTTGCAGATCTGCGAAGAAATTTCATATGATCACAAAGACAAAAATGAGAATATCTCAAGACCTATTGGGCCGATTTTGATGATTTTGTCACTATTACAGTATTAAAAAGCGAAAAATTTGCCTTTACAATTTTTGTTAGAAACACAAAAGATGTTGACTTGACAGAAATTGAGGAACTTATTCCGGCTTCAGATTATGGATATTATTTCTTTTACACGTATTACAGTATTAATATTCCTATTTCTATGTATAGAATTTCTGCACATCTCTCACGAATCACGATAAAAATTATTTATACATGTACGTTTTTACGTATAAATCTTGATTTATTATTATTTGTCGGGGATGATGCTGAAATCGGATGACGCTGAAATTTGAACTTATTTTAATATGAAATTTTAAAAATTTTTTGTGGTGTTTTTTCTAGATTTTTTTTGAGTTGGATTAGGGTTTATTATTAAAGAGTATAGGTGGGTTTTAGTGGAATTTATATTTTTAAATAGAGACACTAAATTTCAGCATTCATCCGATTTCAGCATCATCCTCGACATTACTTATTTTTTAAAAGAATCAAAACCATAATATTGTAAACTTTTTACAGTATGTATTAATTTTTTTCTTTATTACGTATTATATAAACAAAGATACTGTACATTATATTTAATATCCATAAATCTATTAATGAAACTAAGTCTGCACATTGAGAATTACAGCGTGTAAACTTTATAGCAAATACTATTCTTGTTAGCTAGGAAGTCTTAAATATTAACAATAGTTCTAAGTTGGACTTAATAAAAATAACGGTAATTTGGCAAATGGGCACGTGCCGCTAAACGGCACGTATCAGCCAATCATTTGCGTTTGCCCAGTATTGGTGTTATGATTCGTAGGGTTATCGACTGAGTTTTAATTTAATAATTAATGTGGCAGATCATAATGAAATCGGATTAAAATGAAACT